GCTGACTTCTACTATAGCAAGTACCAGGCTGATTATGATTATGATTATTTTTATTTATTTTCTTTTTTTTGAGAGAAAGAGTGGGGGGGCGGGTAAGGAGAGAGAAAATCTTAAGCAATCTGTAGCAGGCTCCACACCCAGCATAGAGCCTGACATCGGCTCAGTCTCACGACCCTGAAATCCTGACCTGAGCCGAAATCAAGAGTCAAATCTCTTAATTGCCTGAGCCACCCAGGCACCTCCAGGCTGATTATTCTTATGTGCGAGAGTATGTGTGTGTTGCATTCAGTTGTCTGATGCTACATTTGAAACCCCAAGGCTGCCATTCTGAAAAATCAGAAATGTTTGTTTGTTTATTAAAACATGGTGCAGGGCTCAGATGTTGATGCGGAAGGGAGTTAAATACATGGAAAGTTGTTCCAAAGTTTTCGATTATGCATATGTAGGGAATTTCAGTAACTTTCTTTATAAATCCTAATACCACACAAGAAAAATAAACCATTATTTTACAAATCAATAGCATTTTCACTTGCTTTTCATTATTTATTCATAGTTACTTTATAGATGACCATTTTACTTTTAAAATCTAAGTTTTTATGCTTCTATTCAGTCTTTAATTGGAGGAATATGTAAATATATATGTTGATATCGGAAATCTTTTGTGCATTGTGTTTATACCAGTTACAGTTGCACTGTAGAGGCAAGCACTTAAGTACTTTCAAGAGTTATTGCATTAAGATATACTGTTTCACACATATACACACAAAATTGTTAAGTATTTTTGATGTACAGTTGGCTCTTATGCTTGCCTCAGTGAATGATTCTCAATTGATGTACCATCATTTTTCTCAAGATTTTGATCAGTGTATAAAATTTGTTTTTGCTGCTTCTGAATAGAACAGCTATATTCTTACGATATCCTGGGTGAAGCCAGTTGTGGGGTCTTGATGCATAGATATTAGTTTCAAAGTAGAATACATAGTACAATACAAAGCCAGCACCAAAGGAAGATTTCCTAGAAGGTGAGAAAACATTGTTTTGTGTATTTAAGAGCGCTCAATCAAGTCTCTAAAAGGTTTTGAAGTGAAACTGACACAGTGACTCTGCTGAAGAGCAAATTAAAGAATGATAATAATTGTAAACGTGCTTTGAGCTTTATAGGATCATTCCAACCACTGTTTAAGTGATATTGTAGGGGCACCTAGGTAGCTCAGTTGGTAAAGGGTCCTACTTGATCTCAGCTGGGGTCTTGATCTAAGGGTCGTGAGTTCAGGCTGGGCATGGGGCCTACTTAAAAAAAATGATACTGTAGGCGCCTGGGTGGCTCAGTTGGTTAAGTGTCCAACTCTTGGTTTTGGCTGAGGTTTCTGGGATTGAGCCCTGCTTAGGGCTCCCCACTCAGCGGGTAGTCTGCTTCCCCTCTCTCTCCGACTCTGCCACACCCCCCCTCATGCTCTCTCTCTCTCAAATAAATAAATCTTTTTTAAGAAGACGTAATTCTTTAAAAAATGATACTGTAATAACTTTCTCTTCTTGAAAACAGAACTAAAAGTACTCCTTGGACTTGCCCTCCCCTTTCTGTCCATCTGCCATCCATTATTGTGCTCCCTGCTATAACAAAATACTCAGGAAAAGTTCTCTGTATTCCTTATTACTGCTTTCTCACTGCCTAGCCATTGCAACTCAGACTTTCATCATTTCCACTCCCACATTAACTTATGTCTCTAAATTTCATTCTCAGTTTGCACACCTGGGCCCCTGCAGTTCTTCAAAATTATCAGTGATGATTTTGAAACATAACACTCCCCTGTTTATTCTTGCTGGATGCAGGTGGGCTGCTCCTTTGTTGTGAGAAAGGGAGGTGGAATTGATGGGGAGGGTCAGATTTTTAAAGAGGAAGATCAGGGGAGGTACCTGTTTCTGAGGTTAGAGTTTGAAGTCTAACTGATGGAAAGTTGAGATTTTCATTCGTCAAGGGCCCACAAGGTTTTTCTGTAAAAGTCCTGATACAGATATTTGGGACTTTGTGAGTTTGCTCTGCCTGAGTGAAGGGTGGTCAGCTATATGCATGACATCCAGAAAGTAGTAGGAATTTAATGGCCTTGGGAGCAACCTTTAACCAAGGAAGTGGATAGATGCCCCAGCTTCTCTTTCCCTAGGTGGGACAAGTCTTAGGCATGTTCTACATAATTCCTCAGGGGGTCTTTAGCAGGATTGAACTCCAGTTATCCACAGCAGTCAGTGAACCCTTAATAGACTTTTCTCCATCCATCTCACTATTCCTAATCCCCTCAAGTGTGCTTCCCCTCCCAAGTTCTCATTTCAGGTTTGCCTTTTGGGGGAACCCAAATGATAGTGTTTACAGACTTTTAGTGGTGGTGATGGTGGTGGTGGTCATAGTAGTATATAGCTTTTTCCTCCCTTCTCCCCCACTGGGGAGATATGGCTTCCTTAATGGTTGACATTGGCACCAGACTACAGCAGAGTGAATGGACTGAGGTATGGGGAAGAAAGTATTGTATGCCTACCTACCATTATTTCAGTTCAGCTCAGCCTTACTCAAATTGGTTTATTCTTTGCAGGTTATCTTTTTCTGTCTTGCGTTCTCTATTCTTGAAGAGAAAAGGAAATCACCTATATAACATGTGTGACCATTTACCTCAGTAAATGAAAAGGTCCCAACCTTGGTGGTTTTCTGTGAGCTAGATCAGATTTTCTATGTTAAAAAGTGAATTGACAAATTCTGTTCTGGAAAATAATTTAAGATGCAGGGTACTATATACATTGTGTCAGACAATTGAGTAGTTATAAAATAGGAGTTATAGAATTTCTACACCAGACTTCAAATAACATGATTGACTGGGCTTTCCCAAAACAAACATTAAAATTTCAAAACGGCAGTGTAATCACAAGTAACTACAATTCTCCCATTAATAAAGCACTTACTGATTTGGGACTCCTGGGTGGCTCGGTCAGTTAAGTGTCTGCCTTTGGCTCAGGTCATGATCCCAGGGTCTTGGGATCGAGTCCCTCATCGGGCTCCTTGCTCAGTGGGGAGCCTGCTTCTCCCTCTGCCTGTAGCTCCCTCTGCTTGTGCTCCATCTCAAATAAATAAAATCTTAAAAAAAAAAAGTACTTATTAATTTTTTTTTAACGTCTGGGAAATTGAAAGTGTTTTTCCACTTGTGGTGTGTTTCTTCCACAATGAGAAGTTCAGTTGTGTGTTGTAAGTTTCATCATTAGAGAAGGTGTTTCTAGGCACATAATCAATATGAAAATTTCATTTTTTACTATTTGAGGCTTTCAGGTATACAAGTTATGTTAAAAAAAAATTCCGTATTAGTATATGCTTTTAAGCTCATTTTTTTTAAAGTTGACCAACGCTTTTTAAATCTGTACTAAAATGAGCTTTTTATCAGAATCATGATAATAGTTTTTGTTTTTATTTGCAAGAATGCTATTTTCCATGTTTTTTTTTTTTCCTTCCCTGGAAGGCTTTGTTTGGCTGTTCTTTTTTTGTTTTTGTTTTAAAGACTTACTTTATTGGAGAGAGTATGTGCAGAGGAGAGTGGGGAGGAGGGGCAGAGGGAGAGAGAATCCTGGAGCAGACTCAGAACTGAGGCTCAGAGTCCCACTCTGGGCTCAATCCCAGGACCCTGAGATCATGACCTGAGCCGAAACCAAGAGTCGGTCACTCAACCAATTGAACCACCTGGCTGCCTTGCCTGTTCTTTTTTTGAAATATAATGTCCCCCTTTTTTGGTTCTTAGTTTAATGCATAATTATCTAAAAAGTCTTTACTTTTTTTTTTTTTTTAAGGTTTTATTTATTTTGAGAGAATGAGAGAGATAGAGAGGGCGGAGGGTCAGAGGGAGAAGCAGACCCCTTGCTGAGCAGGGAGCCTGATGCGGGACTCCATCCTGGGACTCCAGGATCATGACCTGAGCCAAAGGCAGTCACTTAACCAACTGAGCCACCCAGGTGCCCTAAAAAGTCTTTTATTGCTACTTTAAAAACTAGCTGAAGTTGGATTTTATTTTGCAAGTTTATTGTTAATGATCTGCTTTATTGAAGGAAGCCAAATCTTGTGTTTATTCTTTTATTTGGTTTCATCTAATTTAATTGCAAAAGGCTGTTAAATAGTTTACAAAAATCTTTTTTAAAGATTTTTATTTATTTATTTGAAAGAGAGAGAGAAAATGAGAGACAGCATGAGAGGGAAGAGGGCAGAGGGAGAAGCAGACCCCCTGCTGAGCAGGGAGCCCGATGTGGGACTCAATCCCGGGACTCCAGGATCATGACCTGAGCCGAAGGCAGTCGCTTAACCAACTGAGCCACCCAGGCGCCCCTGTTTTCTGTTATACTTATACCAAGATATGTTGAGGAAAAAGTTGGGTTACTTTTCTTGAATGTATTTGGGACAGCTCATATATAGTTGGGATGTGGTGTTTTTGTTTTTTTGTTTTCTCTTACTCATGGATATTTTTTTCATGCTCTTCACCTAGGATATTGGTTTTGGTTCACTTGGATTCCCTGTCTTACTTTTCACTACTCCTTACACACCTCAGCACACATCTGCAGTCTCGTAAACAAACCTCAGCCTTCTCACTGGCTTTATCAGAATATTGTCCTTTCCTCAAGGCTGGGCTTAGAACCCACCAACTCCACTTCATTATTAATTTTTCCATGTCCAGTCCCCAGGGTTCTCTTTGTTCTCTGAGTGACTACAGTGTAGTCCCTCTTCATCCCTGTGTCCTATATTGTACCTGATGTAAACATTATTAGTTACAGTATGTATTCTGCCTCAGCTACCTTGTGTATGGGCTTTCAAGGGCACAGAGTGTTTTCTCAGCTCTTAAGGATCTCTTTTTTACCTATCACATAAAAGACACTTAGTATTTAGTTACTTGTATTAAGTGCCCAATTTAGTTTTCTTCTTATAATTTCTATCAAGATAATCTTAGATTAAGTGTTTTGTTTATTGCTTGTTTTTTTTATAGATGTAAAAAAGGATTGGTCTGACCATGCTCTCTGGTGGGAAAAGAAGAGAACCTGGCTTCTTAAAACACATTGGACCTTGGATAAGTACGGCATTCAGGCGGATGCTAAGCTTCAGTTCACCCCCCAGCACAAACTGCTCCGCCTGCAGCTTCCCAACATGAAGTATGTGAAGGTGAAAGTGAATTTCTCTGATAGAGTCTTCAAAGCTGTTTCTGACATCTGTAAGACTTTTAGTAAGTATTAAATTCTTCCCTATGAAAGTATTAGTTGTGTGGCATATATATGACTGATGATTAACAGCTTATTTCAAAGAGTAGGTTGGGGCGAGCTATGTATGCTTTATGTGTATGTCAGTTTTTCACTTTATTCTTGAAAGTTTTTTATTACTTTAAGATAAAGAAATATTGAGGTAAGATGGAACAGGAGGAACCTAATATAGATTTTTTCCTTACTAGAAGTGTATCAGGTATGTATTATGTAATACTTCGTTCTGATGACTTAATTTTTATGTCTTGGGAAGGAAAAGAAAGAAGGCATTTTCAAGATGTAGGTTTTGCAGTGTTTCCTTCACATAAGTCACTATGTGATTTTAGTGATTCAGGCACATTGTGTCACTTCCTTCACTGAAGGCCTGACACAGCTCCTAAGGAAATGACCATGAATGTTGTCTTGGTTAAGCAGCCTGCAACTTGAACACTCTTGTAGTAACTCTATTTATACTTCCTGAAATGAAATGTGGATTACTTTTGGCTGACCCAGTTATGTCATATGACAGGAAGTATTCAACCATCAGAGAAAATGTGAACTATTGTCATTATCACTAGTACATAATTCTGTTATATCATAGATTTAGGAGGGATGTAGGACATTATTGTTTTGATCTAATGACTGGAATTACAGTGTTTTTTATGCTTAATGGAATTTTTAGGAAAAAAAATACAGAAAAGTATAAGAAATTATATAAAGATTACCTAATTCCTGTTATCTTAGAATTAATAACTGCCATTTTGCCATTTTGCAAGACTTTTTTTTAAGTCACAATAATAGAGGTAAAGTTCTTGAGTCACATTCTTATAATTTCCCTTCACAAAGCAACCACTGTCCTAAGTTAGTATGTATCCTTCTTATACTTTTAAAAATACATTAACACACACATATGTACATGCGTTTCTGAATATCTGTGTGTTTACATATCCATAAACAGTATGTTATTGCCATTACTCTTTGGGTATTTTTCTTTTTGCAGTTTTGTATTTGTATGCAGGAATTTCTCAAGTAGTTATATAGTAGTCCCCCACTTATCTGTGAAGGAAATGTTCCAAGACCCCCAGTAGATGACTGAAATTACAGATAGTACCCCTATATGTACTGCTTTTTTCCTATACATACATACCTATGATAAAATTTAATTTATAAAACAGGCACAGTAAGAGATTAACAATAATAAACGATAAAACAGATCAATTATAACAATATACTGTAATAAAAGTCGTGAATGTGGTCTCTCTCTCAAAATATCCTTTTGTACCGACTCACCCTTCTTTTTCTTGTAATGGTGTGAAATGATAAAATGCCTATGTGATGAGATGAAGTGAGGTGAAGGATGTAGGCACTGTGACACAGCATTAGGCTGACCTTCTGATGATACATCAGAAGAAGGATCATCTGCTTCCAGACCACAAACTGAAACCATGGAAAATGAAATCGTGGATAAGGGGGGACTGCTGCACCAATTTACATTACAACCAGCAACGTATGAAAACCCATTGTCCCAATTCATCACTAATACTTGAATATTGTCAGTTTTTAGTGTTCACTTCTTTGAGTGAAAAAATACAGTTATTTCATTTTCGTTTATAAAGTATGTTTCTGTATCTCTATTAGTCATCTAAGGTTCTTTTTTTTTACTTACCCATTTATATCATGTATTTTTTTCAGTTCATAAACTTTATTTTTTTAGAGCAGTTTTAGGTTGACAACAAAATTGAACAGAAAGTACAGAGAGTTCCCATTCATTCCCTATCCTCACACATGTACAACCTCCCCACTATCAACATCCCACACCAGAGTGGTATAGTTAATAAACCTACACTAACACATCATTATGACCTAGAGTTCATGGCTTACATTAGGAATCATTCTTGGTGTTGTACAGTCTGTGGATTTGGACAAACGCATAATGACATGTATCCATCATGATACTATCATACAGAGCAGTTTCACTGCCCTAAAAATCTTCTGTGCTCTGCCTGTTAATCCTTCCCTCTCCCCTAACCCCTGGCAACCACTAATCTTTTACCTTTCCATATAAACCTTAGAATTAGTTTGTTGGTATCCGTAAAATACCTTGCTGGGATTTTGGTTACATCAAATCTGTAGATCAAATTGAGAAGAACTGACATCTTAACAATATTGAATATTCATGTCCATGAACATGGAACATCTCTCCATTTATTTATATTTTGATTTCTTTCATCACAGTTTTATAGTTTTCCTCATTTAGATCTTGCACATATTTTGTTAGATTTATATATAAGTATTTCTTTTTTGTGTGTTAATGGAAGTAGTATTGTGTTTTCTATTTAAAATTCCACTGTTCATTGCTGGTCTATTGGAAAGTGATTTACTTTTGTAAATTTACCATGTATCCTGCAACCTTTCTATAATTATTTGAGGAGTTTTTGTTGATTCTTTTGGATTTTCTATAGGAATGATGATCATATCTATGAATAAAGACAGTCTTCTTCCTTCCCAGTCTATGTACCTTTTACTTGCTTTTCTTGTCTTATTGCATTAGCTAGTACTTCGAGTAAGATGTTGAAAGGCAGTCGTAAGAGAGGACATCCTTGCATAGTTCTTGATCTTAGTGGGAAAGCTTCAAGTTTATCATCATTAAGTATGTCCTTTGCTAAAGGGTTTTTGTAGGTATTCTTTATCAAGATGAGAATGCTAGCTTACTGAGTTTTTAATCATGAACAAGTATTGGATTTTTGTCATGCTTTTTAAAATCTGTATCTTTTGATATGATCATGTGAGTTTTCTTTAGCCTTTTTTGTTTAGACTTTTGATGAAATTGGTTATGTTGATTTTTGGGATGGTGAACCACCCTTGTATAGTTGGCATAAATCCCACTTGGTCATGGTGTGTAATTCTTTTTATGCATTGTTGGAATCTATTTGCTAATATTTTGTTGAAGATTTTTGCATAGATATTGGTCTGTAGTTTTCTTATAATACCTTTGATTTTGGTATTAGAGTAATGCTGGCCTCATAGAATGAATTAGGAAGTATTCCCTCCACTTTTTTTTTTTTTAAAGACTTATTTATTTGACAGAGACACAGCAAGAGAGGGAACACAAGCAGGGGGAGTGGGAGAGGGAGAAGCAGGCTTCCCGCCGAGCAAGGAGCCCGCTGTGGGGCTCAGTCCCAGGACTCTGGGATCACGACCTGAGCCGAAGGCAGATGCCCAACAACTGAGCCACCCAGGTGCCCCTATTCCCTCCATTTTTATCTTCCAAAAGAGATTGTAGAGGATTAATATAATTTCTTCCTTAAATGTTTGGTAGCTAGGAAAAAAGCTCCTTAACATGGGTCCTGGCAGTGATTTTTGGATATAACACGTAAAGCAGAAGCAAAAATAAAAAAGTAGGATTATATCAAACCAAAAAATATCTGCACAGCAAAAGGAACGGTCAACAAAATGAAAACCTACTGAATAGGAAAAAATATTTACAAATCATATAACTGAGAAGGAGTTAATATCTAAAATATCGAAAGACCTCATACAACTCAATAGCAAAAAAAAAGAAAAAAAAAAGAATCCAATTAAAAATGGGTAAAAGACCTAAATAGACATATTCCCAAAGAAGATATACAAAGATTCAACAGATACATGAAAAAGTGTTCAATATCACTAATCATTAGAGAAATACAAACCAAAACCACAATGCAATGTCACCTCATAACTGTTAGAATGGCCGTTGTCAAAAAGACAGATAAATACTGGCAAGGATATGGAGAAAAGGGAACCCAGCCACAATGGAAACGGTATGGAAATTCCTCAGAAAATTAAAAATAGAACTACCATACAACCCAGCAGTTCTACTTCTGGAATATAACTGAAGGAAATGAAACTACTATCATGAAGAGATGTCTGCACTCCCATGTACATAGCAGCATTATTTGCAGTGGCCAAGACAAGGAAACAATGTAAGTATTCATTGACAGATGAATGGATAAAAAAGTTGCGATACACAAACACAGATATTATTCAGCCATAAAAAAGAAGGAAATCCTCCATTTGTGACAACACTGATGGACCTTGAAGGCATTATGCTAAGTGAAATAAAGTCAGAGAAAGACAAATACTGTATAATCTTGCTTATACGTGGAACCCAAAACAAAAACAAAAAAGCAAATTCATAGAAAGATCATATTTGTGGTTACCAGAGGCAGGAGTTGGGGAGTGGGGGGAATTGGATGAGAGTGGTCAAAGGTATACATTTCAGTTATGAGATAAGTAGTGGGGATGTGATGTATGACATGAAGACTACAGTTAATGCTGGTATGGTATATTTGAAAGTTAAGAGTTCCAATCACAAAGATTGTGTGTGTATGTGTGCCCATATGAGGTGGTGGATGTTAACTTACTGTGGTGATCATTTCACAGTGTACCTAAGTCAAGTTATTCTGCTGTATACCTTAAATGTACACAGTGATATATGTCAGTATCTCAATACAACCAGAAAAATAGTGTTTGGTAGAATTCATCAGTAAACCAGTCTGGCCCTAGTGCTTTCTGTTGTGGAAGGTTATTAATTACTGATTCAGTTTCTTTAATAGATACAGGTCTATTCAGATTGTCTATTTCTTATGTGAGTTTTGGCAGATCGGCTTTCAAGTTTTTTATTTACTAAAAATTATGTTGGTTTTCTTTTAAAAATTAACTCTTAAAAAAATGCTTTTATGTAATGATGAAGTTAGGTTTTTAGTTACACTTTCATTTCTTTTTTAAAAGAACCACCGTGGGCTAAGCACAAGCACTTTAAGTTCTTTGATGTAATGTGTCTGACATATATTATTAAGAGGAAATGAAAATTCTCCCAAAGTTTAACTGACAATTACGTAGAGGCACTATAAAAAAATATATTTTGTTTAGAGCTTGCTACCATTTCATACCATCAGTAGGTATGCAATTTGAGTCTTAGACATTAGTATATGCCTAATGGTATTAG